GAAGGGTATGTGAAAAGCTCCCCTTTTCCCCAAGCCTGTTGCAGAGAAATGCAGCAAACATGAGTAGCCCTCTGGGGCACCTCTGCATGGCTTTTTCAGCTGGGAGAAAGAAGTGTTGTGGTTCAAACTTTAACCTGGTATTTCTTTACCTTTTTTGAAAGAAAAAAAGGTGACTTACTGCTTTAAGGTTTTGGCTTATTTCTCAGAATAATGTCAGCTAGGCATCTTCTTAATTTCTCATGCCCTCATGCCTGGGAAATAAGTGCATGTCATGCTCTCCAGGGTGAGGACCTGGGGTTCCCAGATTGTGATCTGCAAAGCCATCGTAAGCCCTTACAGCTGAGAGCAGCAGAATGTTCTTAAGCCTTATAAGTCATCCTCAGTACTGCAGAGTGTTTGATTCAATTTTACACTGTTGTGGGCACATAAGAATTTGGAAGCGGGTTTGCTGGTCTGAATCTGGTGGTGGGGTTTTTTTTGGGTTTTTTTTTTTTTTTTTTTTTTTGCTGATCTGGTTTGCAGATCATTGCAGGGATTGCTGTAACATCCCGCTCCACAGACCTCTCTCCTAGTTTGTTCCCTGTAGGGCTGTATTTGTCAGGCTCTGAGCTGCAAGGGCTGCATGGGAAACTGTCAAGTTTACTCCTAACTTAACAGCCACCTTTGGAACCTGCCTGCTGCTCATTTTCTGTCACCAGGTGTTGTCTTTCAGAGCTGGGAGCTCGCCGCTATATTTTACAGAGGGAAGTTTTGAGACCCAAGTTTTTCCTCCTTTCTACCAGGCCCAAACAGATCTGATAATTTTCTTTGCAAACTTCCAGTGCTAATCATTAGTCCTTTGGTAGCTTTCTTGTAACTGCTGTGGCACATTTCCACCCCTTCAACAGTTACAGAAACTAGGCAGCTGCTGGAAGGGGGACAGGGGTAGCAAGCAATGGGGGAAATCCTGCATTTGCATCTCGCAGACAGAGAGAGGGGCCAGCCTTGTACCCACTCCTTCCCTCTCAGTTACTCCCAGAGATGTGCCCATTAAAAGGCTAGTTTTTGGGGGACTCATCTACAAAGCACCTAATACCACATAAGCTGGGGCCACTTTACCCACTCACTAGGTTAGCTATTAGAGGACTTACATTGTTTTGTCTACTTGTCTTCTTCTGACCTCTCAGTGCATGGAGTTAGCTTGGTATATCAGGCCCTTACTCTCTTTGGAAACTTTGGGGTTTTTTTATTTTCCGTTTCTGTGCTGTAACAAGGAAACTCCCGAAGAAAACACATTTAAGGAAGTCTTTAGAACAGTGGAAGTGAATATTGAATTACTGCTTGGATGACTGCTACTGTGTCAGATAACCCAGGCAAGGTAGATCCAAATATGTTATATATCCTAAAAGAAACGAAGGTGGTTTAGCCTGGGGGAAGCTGTGATATAGGAAGTTATGTGTGTGACTTTTCTGTTAGGTCATCGCAGTTGTTAGCCTTGGGAAATATTTTAAATATTATTTTTCTGAAGGAGGATTAGCTTGGCTTCATTAGCAACTGATTAGTTATGCAAGTCAATGAAAGTAGTGAAAAAATAAGGCTGAAAATTTACAGTAATTGGCGTAACTGCAGTATTTTATGCAGACTTTCACTAAGCATATACCAGCTCTGCTTCAATGGAAGATGTGACTGATTAAGGCTGGAGCAGGTTCCAGTTCGGCTGCATAGCAAAATGTGCACTGATAGCAGGATTAGCTCTGTGTGGATTGTATTTTCAGTTGTCTACCATTTTAGTGGTTTGAAAGCTTGATCTTGCAGCATGCCGAGGGAGGTGGTCTCAGACTTGGGGAATGCCCAGCCATCTGTGGGAAAGTTCTGTTAATCCTCCTGATCTTTGAATTGTGTCAGCAGTGCCACTGGCAGATGTGGTTATAACATAAAAGCAATGGAGATGGAGTAGCAGAGCCTTTGGTGTACCCGGTAACCTGCTTGGATAGTTAGTCCAAACTGAAATCACTGCTACTGCATCTTCACAGCTAATAGAACCTTTTGTAACTGCCAGTCTTTGTGATATACTACACCTCTACTGGAGCATTTGCTCCTACTTCTTGGTTGCGGTGTAGATTTAGCTGTCAGGTGGGCTTACAGAGTTTATATGAACAACAGAATCGCTCTAAGTGGTGCCAGCACTGGTCCCCCACTGAGAAGATGGAATGCAGTCAGCTTTGAATGTGGCTGTTCCCGCTCTCAATGTACACTCTCCACCAAGACATGGGCAAGTAGGGTTGCATGAATTTAGAAATTACCTTGTGCAGGAAGACCACCACTGCATCCAAGACTGAAGGGCGTTGTAGGTTTATCTTGAATTCAGAAGCTGAATTGTCATTGGCTTCCCTATGAACTTAATCATTCTTTGGAAGTTTGTTATCTAGACCAGAAAGGGTAAAACTTTTGCCAAAGGAATCAGGAATGAAATCATGGAAAGCTGTGTGTCTGATGTAGCTTTGATGAATTCATGTCTATTTGTAAGGAAGGAATCCCAGAGACCTGTCAAACTATTACCCACTGCTGGTCTACAGCATACTGTGGCTGGCTGTGCCCAAGCGTAGCTGGCGAAGAGGAGAAGGAGCTGGTGTCAGTTTTAATTTTGCAGAGCAAAACTTTGGGAATACATTGCTCTGTCTCCTATAATCTCCACATAGTACAATTGTACAGGCAGAAATATGGGCACGTGGGCATGTGAGTTCTCTGCCTCCAGTGTTTTGGGCATGTTGGGGCATTATTTGAAGCCAGAAATCAAGTGGGTAGGGGATGGGAGGAACTCAGAGCAGACTTGCAGCTTGCCCAAGGCAGCTGTGTATAAGAGAATGGGATTCCCTTTTCACTTTGCTTTCTTTTTCTGCACCACTGGCGGAGGGTGTATAGGAAACAAGTGCTGTGAAATTGCCTCTATTTCTTCCTTCCCGACCACCTACGAAGGTTTGAAGCAAGAAGAAGAAAGGAAAAGAACATAGGATATCTTGTTGCTTCTGTGGCAGCTGGCAGAGCTGGCCAGCACTGAGGGCAGGTTACTGATGTGGACTTGGGGCAGGGTTGGAGACTGAGACGGAAACCATGACCCCACGTAACAGTTCTTCCTCAGATGTGTGCCTACAGCAGAGTAGCTGTGTACATCTCCTTTCCTCTGGTTACTTCCATGGTAGTCACAGGCTTGCATTCAAAGATACCTTCCCCCTGCCCCTTCTTTGTTTTTTCTTTTTAAATAAGATGCTCAATGATGTGCTCTCTTACTAATTAGGTTGTTATAGTCCTGGTGTACTTGCAATAATTTTGAAGTCCTGATTCCGCTTTGCAGGATGCAAGCCTGATGGTTTTTTGATTAATGAATTGTCTGGTCATAACTTCTTAAAATGGGCTGTAAGTAATGTCTGTGTGAAGCATGGCATGCAGGAATGTATTGCATAAGTAATGTATCTTAAAAGCATCTTGTCGTTATTTTGGTTCCATTAGTGAACTTCTTCTCATTACTTGGATAAAATAGGATTTCTACGTGTAGTCTGAGCATGATGACACTGTCTTTTGCTACTGTTTATTTTAGCTGTGTTGGTAAAGAACAGGCAACCTTCTTTTTCACCTCTAATATGTGGGCCAAATTCACCTGCGCTGAAGTTATGTGAGGCTGAATTGGGCTCTGCTTTTTCATAGGAAATGTGCTGATCAACGCAGAAAGCATTTTTTGTTTATTTGTGTTCCAAAAGGAAGCATGGCTTACGCAGCATTTCATATAGTAAAAATCACATGTAGCCACTTGTCTTCGTGTGTGTGTGCTTAAAATTGCTGTGAACAACATAACCAAATGAGGACCCAGTGTCAACCAATCTATGTGGATTGATTTTTTTTTTAAAACTATTTATTTTTTTCCCCCTCCCAGGTATGAATTGAATTCTTCATATGCATGTCTCAAGCACTTCTTAGGTCAAAGACATTTTCATATATTGTTTTTCCTTGTCTATATAAGTAAAGAATTGCAAGGGCATGGGAATTTGCTTGCAGGGAATCAGCTAGGAATTCGTCTTGTAGAGAGAAGGTCTCTCAGCTGATGTACCTGCTGCCTGTGCTGAGCTCCAGACACCGTTTAGGGAGTAACAGCAGAGGGGATGGAGTGTGTTTGCCTCTCTCTGAATTTCCAGTGATTTATGTTCCTTTCTAGATTGCAGTCATACATTCTAAATCGCAGAACTCCTGAGCCTGTCATGACATTTGCCAGAAGATGGTCCACAGAGTTGGGGAGTCAGTGGGCTAAAGAACTCTTGTCACAGGCAAATTTTTAAGGCTTTTGTGAAATGAAAGACACATTGATGGGAGAAGGTTGGCTGACAGCAAGGGAGGGAAAAGAGTCTCGCTGCCTGACTACAGATTACTTTCTAAGCTTTCTCTGCCTTTTGGCTGCCCAGAGAGGTGGTAGAGGCCCCATCCCTGGCAACCTTCAAGGCCAGGTTGGACGGGGCTCTGAGCAACCTGATCTGGTTAAAGCTGTCCCTGCTCACTGCAGGGGGGTTGGGCTAGATGACCTCTAAAGGTCCCTTGCAACCCAAAGCATTCTATGATTCTATAGATCGGATAAAGAGTAGTTAATGTAACTTTTAGATTAACTGAACTGCTCTTGGAATTCATAGGTTCCTGTCTATTTCATGATCTGGAGTTTCTGCTGAACCGGGTGACATGCTTACTGAGAATGCGAGGATTCATTAGTGTGAAATCTTGAACCCAAGCATTTGCAGAGGCATGGACAAACAGCTGGTTTGTGAATTGTCTGCAAATAAATTCACTGAGTGCCATTCCTAGAGCATGCATTTGAGTCATTTTCTAAAAATGTAACATTACTTCATTTTATTGGATAATTACATTGGTCTAAATTCCATTTTATTTCTGACTTCCAGGTTGTTGTGGGAGATAAAGTTGTTCTCATGCCAGTCAATGCAGGGCAGCCTCTACATGCCAGCAACATTGAGCTTCTAGATAACCCTGGCTGCAAAGAGGTGAGTTCAGTGGAGGGAGGAGGGGTAACTGCTGATCTGAGAGGTATTATATGTTGTTCTTTACTGATAACCAGAACCCTCCATGAGCCCACCGTGGGCTAGATGCCAGTATTAAACATTGGTTCCAGCTTGGCCTCAAAAAACCAAGATGAATTATACTTATTCTTGGCGCAGTTCTGCCCGGCACTGGAAGCTTTGTGAGCTTTGCTTGGGTATCTGAAACTCTCACTGATGTAAGAGTAAGTCCTCTTCCAACAGCTCTTTAGGTCGTCTTTGGTAGGCTGTCAACAGACAGAGTAGCATTTTGCCCACTGAATCTTCTCCAACATCAACATCATTATTAACACTTGAGAGCTTCAGGGCCCATGTTAGGAACTGTACAAATATGTAGCTAAGCCATGTCCCCTGCCACCCTAGATGTGGTGTGGTCTTCTAGAAGAATAGAATGTCTCAAAAAGATAAGAACACCCTTTAAGACTGTAATTGTGTTTTGTTTTGTTTTCTTTTCCCCCCAAAGGTAAATGCTGTCAACTGTAACACGAGCTGGAAAATAACTTTGTTCATGAAATTCAGTAGTTATCGAGATGATGTACTGAAAGGAGTAAGTACGATTTTTTTAAATCATGCCATATTTGACTGTAGAGAAATATTACATGGTGGAAAAAAAGAAGAAATGAGGACTTTATGGAGCTCTTGAGGATTCCTCACTACTGTCCTTCAACAGCCAGAATATTTTTCCTTTGTGTTATTGTCTTACTAAGTGAAATTGTCTGGATTGTACTAGCTTCCAGCCCCTTTTCCCTCCCAGAGACAACTGAGGATCCATGAGAAAAGATGAAGTTCAAGCCCAGAATGATGAGGGCTCTGTACAGAATAGATGTGACACTTCAGTTTATGCCAAGATGCTAAAAGCAGGTGTAGCAAGCTTACAGAAGGGAGTGTGGCATGAAAGATGACAATAGCTGTAATAAGACAATGTAGCTTTAAATGCTGAGGGATTGCACAGCTTCATGCCTCCAGACCACTCCCTGAGATCACTTACATTTCCATTTTAAAGAAACACATTTCATTTGTCCTCACTCATACCTTAATAAGTCATTATCAACTGGCTATTTTTCAGTAGGTATCAAGGTACCAGCAGTTTTCAAGGAAGAATTTGAAAAGGAAAATGGTATATCTTTGTAGACCCATTTGGGGATAGTGTTTCAAACCTTGGGGAGAGGCAGAAGGAAGCAAAAATGATGCCAGCAGAAGAAATAGAGAGGGGGCATTGGTTTTGGTTGCAGTGTAGAAGAGATGAGGTAATATGATGTTAGAAAAATTTGTTCACTTTCCCTAAATACTAAGAGAGATTAGAAATTAAAAATCCATTTAGTAAAGTTAGCTAGAATTAAAAATCACCTTTTGGTTAACTGTTGCCCACTGTTCATTGCAGTGTTCTGAAACAAGTTCTGTTTTCACAAAAGTGCGTGGGTCTCCTGCAGGACTGAATTATGCCATTTGATTTCTAGACTCAGTGCTGAGATTGTATGCTCTGCACTTGGTACTTGCTGCAGTAATAGGAAACTAATAAATCTTTTCTTCAGATCAGCTCTGTTGACATCACTGGAGCTAGTACAGGTGTAGAGGATGAGTCTCATGGCTTTGCCTACCACTTAATAATACTGCTTTTTCATATTATTTTAGGGAGATGTTGTTAGGCTGTTTCATGCAGAGCAAGAGAAGTTTCTGACCTGTGACGAATATGAGAAGAAACAACATATTTTCCTTCGTACTACATTACGTCAGTCGGCCACTTCTGCAACAAGTTCTAAAGCACTGTGGGAAATAGAGGTATTTTTTCTTTTTATAAGTATTTTAGGACCTGAAGGCAAGGGTTCAGTAAAAATACTTCACCATGACATGAATCATTCATAGCCTCTTGATATGATCATGCACCTCCCTGTAACTATTACTATTTTATGAACCGGATTGTGTAGGATGAACATTGAAGAGATGCTTTATTGCTCTGTGTGTGTGGAGAGAGGATGTTTTCTTACCATATTTACCTGCACTAAAATGATGAAGAGTCAAATTCAGACTTGACGTAAATGGTGTGATTTTATGAAAGCCAATTGAATGACACTCATGTATCCTGAGTTCTGGGTGTTTATATTTGACTTCATGTGCAATATAGAAAATTGAAATTTGTGACTGACAAGAAGTCTCACAAATGTGATTAAGTCCATTCTTCTGCAACAGGGCACATCAGCATCTGATTAAAGTTAGGCCGAATAAAGGTATTGTTGCTGAATGGGGGTGATTTTAAGATGATTAGCAAATATATTTTTGTTTAACTGAGGAGCATTGGAAACTGGTATGTCTCAAACTCTTGCTATTACAGTAATGCAACTCCTATACCCAGAAGTTCTTATGTGCTGAACAAACTTTGTTCATTTAAAACAGAGCTCCTCGCTCAGGCAATTGGTTGATTTTTGTCTGAGTAAGGACTGTATGGAATAGAGTGTACTGTACTTGTAGTTATTTGAGATTACTCCTTAAGAGAGACAGGCACTGCTAGGTTTGAACATAGCAAATCACCCACAGCTCGGTCAAGGGGAAAAAGAAATAACCTGGGATATTTCAAATGATATGGGGCTATTTTATCACTTGAATGAAAATTTATCAGAAGCCCCTAGTATTGTCAAAAATAGAGCTGGTATAAGTGGTGAAACAATGTAAGAGAGTTTGAGTTTTGCTTTTAAGTAGTGTCTATGGAAGCATAGAGCAGCTCCACTTACTTTCCTGAGCTCCAGATTCACACCATGCCACTTTGCATGGTGTGAATTTGCACAAGCAAAATTTGGCTCACATGTTTGCAGGGAGTAGATTAATGAAAACATGGACAGTAATAGCATGAGTATTTCCTGGTACCTGGCAAAAAATAAATGTAAGTAGTTGTTATCAATGGTGGGCTTAGCATGAGCACAGAATTCTTCTTTGTGGTAGACTATTTGTAATTACGTAGTTCACATAATTTTATTTGGAGTGAGCTGTAAGAAATCTCAGTGATCTAAGTATGATCTTGAGGAGCACAATTAAAATCTGTACTTCTTCTTTTAGGTTGTCCATCATGACCCTTGCCGGGGAGGGGCAGGACAGTGGAATAGCTTGTTTAGATTTAAGCATTTGGCAACTGGAAACTACTTAGCTGCAGAGGTAAGAACGTCAATTAAACAAGTGGTTGTGTGCTGCCTAACCAAGTACTATACATGTCCTGCTAATTCAGAAATGCCATAGTAGGTAGGTCCACAATGTAGGTCTCTGAAAAGATCTCACATCAGGACTGAATGGGGAGAAATGGATGTGCACTGCTGTGTCACGCTGTATTGCTGTATCCAAGGGTTGCAGGGAAAATTTTCTGAACAACAGGACACTAGTAGGTGAGTTCGAGACAATGTATAGCCTTAATTTCAGCTGTGCTGTTGAATCTTGAATGGCTGTTTGTTGTCATGGCAGCCAGGGCAAACACCGCTGTTAAATATCCACCATATTTGCACTGAAAATCCTTGGATTCATTTATCTCTCTGCTCTTGTTTGCCCTTGATTTTTGGAGCTGTGTTGTGATCAGTCAAATATTCTTCTTTGCTGGCTTAGGCGGCCATATACAGATTAAAGCTTTTAGAGTGGAACTGAATACAAGGTAATCATTGAGCTTGATCAGAGAAGTCTGTGTGCAGGCACTAGAACAGATACTCTAATCTGCTCTAATTCAGGAGTTGTCATTCCTTTTTTTCCCCTGCAGGCTCTAGACTTCTTGAAAAAATGTTTCTGTGGTGCTGATTTCAGTGTGTTGATCTCTGCCAGCCAGCATCTAGTCTAAGGCATCTCTGTGTTCTGTAGAAACTCGGGGAAGGACAAACTTGTCGTGACCATTGGTGTCATGAACAGTGCATTGTGATTATAGCAGGTTGCAGTGTTTTGCTGTTGTGCTTATCTTTTGACTGAGAAAAAAAAAAATTGAATAAAGAAAGGTCTGAGGAAATCCTATCCCTTTTGGTGGAACAGAAGGTCCAGGAGAAGGAGGATCTTGCAAGTTGTCTGGTTATTATCTGGTACTTTATGTTAAGGCAAAATAGTGTTGTGACTCCCCAAAAGAGCAGCTTAATATCTTTTAAGACCGATAATTATCTTTAAAAATAAAATAGGGCTCTTGACAAGCTGGAAGAGAGCAGATAATACCAAGTTAATGAAATGGGAGAGCCTTGGATTTTTCCCTGGTTGCAAGAAGCTGTGAACTTTTAAAGTCATATCTAATCCATGTTAGAGCTGGTCTGTGTCCAAGTTATATCAATGGAGTGAAAAGTAGTTTTTTTCCCTACCGATTTAGTTAAGTCTGTGCAGGATTGCCTCTTTGACTTATGCATGCAAGCATGAATGTGAAAATTTACAACTAGAAAAGCCAGTTATAAATCACTGTATGTTAGGGAATCCCTGAAAAAAGACTTGCTCTAACTGGATTGAGTTATGTTTACAGCAGTACAACTTCCGTATGCAGACAAGTCCTTAGTATTCCCAGGGTGCTGCTTTCACTTTCCAGCTCCTGTCGCAGCCTGCACTGATTTCAGAGCAAGAACAAACAGGAGCTATCAAACCTTTACTTATTTCTAATTATGTCAAAGCCAGTGTCAAAACATAAACAGTGGACCACCAGGACAGATACTGATATTATTTTCCATCTGAGACTGAATGTAATTTGGATCTTTTCATGGGTTTTAGCAGTAGCTCACAGTGTAAGTTAGAAACCTGGTAGGCCTGCGTGGTGAAGAGCATCATCCCTTTAAAGGCAGTGGGCCAACATGCCTTAACTGCTCTACTCTGCGCTGCAGCCTTCATACTGCAGCAATGCTTTGGCTTGGCTGAAGCCAGCTGGCCTTATTGTGTAGTTAATATTGGCTAATAATAGCTAATTGTCAAGTGGCAACCAGTACTCCCACCTAAGAGACGGTTCCTTTTTCCTCTCTGCTTACAGCGAGAGATGCTCTTAGTAGAAAGATTTTATTCAGACTAGCTAGGCTGATGGAGAGTCAGGAAAGGCATCAAGCGCTCTGACTGATGGGCTACCTTCTCCCACCATACCATATCTGCTCAGGGATTTTCAGGAGAAAAATCTTCAGGTGAAGAGGTGTCACACTACGCTGAATGTCGAACCTGAGCTTAGGTCCTTTCTACCTCTGGAAAGGAAATACCCATCAGGAAGACTTGTAATATGGAGAGTATGATTGGCACAATAGAGTGAGAGCTGGAAGAGCATTTGAGTTGAACAGAGGTGATGTGCTGTGACTGGAGAGCAGCATTAGCTACTGTATCTATGAAGTGTAAAATACCTGCTGGTGGAGATATTAAAGGTACCACTGTAATAAAAACCCATGAATTGTTATTTTACGCAGTTCACATGTCAGGCACAACACACCAGCCAGACATACATGTCAAAGATTTACAAACAGGCAGGCAGACACCTAATGTGCGTGAGCTAAATTTAAATCAATTGGGCAAAGCTTACTGAACACTTATCTGTGCTCTTGCAGCATAGGAAGATTACTCATGGTATGGATTATCAACAGTGTCACACATTGCTATGGCCGGATTCTGTTTAAGCTTCCATGATAAAGATATCTAAAGTGGAATAATAAGTACAAACACATAAACAAAATTCACAAATCCTTTAAGCATTCTCTTGTTGGCTAATGATACAATTTCTGTCACAGTTTGAGCAATTGTAAATGAGGATTGATCACTGTTTATAACCATCTTTACCTTACTTCACCCTTCCGTAAACCAGCTTGATGTGTACCACAGAGACTTCTGCAGTGGAATCTTGCATGGATCAAGTCTCAGACAACGAGCAGAAGTGTCGTTCACCTGGATGTCTCCTTTTGCTCCTCCGCAGTTAGGCTTGTACCTTGTGTGAACTGTGCTGTACCTTCTTTTTCTCTGAGGCTTCCTGTGCTAGATGTAACTGGTCAGCCTGATTCGTGACTCAGTGGGTCCGAGCCATGTAGTGAAGGGATGCCACTGCAGCTTGTTAAGGCCAGGGGATGATCTGGGGACTAAGAAAATTCAAGACGCTTGCCTCAGAGAATTCAGGAATTTAAAACTAATAAACTCACAGTGGTGTCAATACTACAGTAAGTAAGTTTAAAGAAAAAAGTGAGGCAATACAGTTGTTCAGTAAATAAAACATATAGGTGACTACTTGTAAATCTAATTCTTGTAAACTTGAGAGCGTGAAGTCGGGATGTGTTAGTCCCAATTTCCATGTTCCTAAGAATCACAGTCATCCAGCTTTTGTTACCTTTCAAAGACTGAGGGTCCTCTGATACCTCTGGCTTCTGACACAGTCTCAAGTAGTGACATTTCCTTTAATCCTCTTTCCACTTGGCATTACTTAGGGTAATTTTCATTAATATGCTTTGAAGTTCCATAAAACCTACTAATAACATAAAGCAACCTAGACTCTACTACCAAACTCAGGGCTGAAGGTGAGCCACCCTGAAAGACCCACTGCTAAAGGAGACCCAGTGGAAGACATTTCCTAATTGCACGTGGCTGCATTGTCATTCCCCTACTATTATGCACATCCTGGGGACACGGTCTGACACATCAGATGCATGTATGCTCTCACACAATTACTTAAGGCACAGGAGGGGTATACTGAAGAAAGGGTTTCATGTTTGGTGGTAAGACTTGGGACATTGGAAATCTGGATAGGCGGTAATGTCTCCTACATGTCCGGCATTTGGAATCCTGAAGCCACTGGCTCAGACATTTCCAAAACATTGAAATCATAAAAAAGTTGTACCAAATACTCAGCTGAAAAATTGGAAAGAGAAATTCTCTTCTGTGGAGACAGTGGGAGTTCTGCTGTTAGTGTCAGAAGGGCTTGATTTCACCCGAAAGAGCTGAGCCAGATCCTTAGCAGGAGATTTAGACACTAAGCCACCAGCTAAGATCCAGGCTGCTGAGTTTTATTCTCATCTTCACAGAGTCAGCAGTCTTTTAGAAAAAGTTCTGTAGAAGATTCTTTTTTTAGCCCTGGTTACAGCAAAATGACCCAAGTTATTTTGAATTTTTATATTTATGAAGAGAGGCTGTAAGGTTAGGTGAAAATTGAATGCTTCAAAGTATCAAAGACTTTCCCAAATTTTTTTTAAAAGTCTTTTCAGTGCATGTACCACATGTAGAACACACCCAAATCTATCTGTCTGTGTGTGGGAGCAAGCTGCAATTTATTTGAACAGCCTTTCAAATGCTGCAGGTTGGGACTGCACAGCTGTGCCTTTCTCATGAACACACCTAACCTTTTCAATATTCTAATCACCAGGATAAAAGTCTCTTTGAACTGAATATCAGCTTATCGATTGTGCTGAACCAAAACATGCACCTTTAATATTGTTCTCCATGTGTATAGCAGCTCCAGTTCTGTGATTTCTAAACTGGGTAATCTGTACCAAAACTATTAACACTTGTTGTATGAGGATGTTAAACAGAAATATGGGTGTCCATGCATACGTATATACACATACAAGAAATGCAGGGAAGTCTGTCATTTCATATTAAACTTCTCAGGTGAGATGGATATTGCTAAAATAATGACAAAATATATATGCAAAGATCAAATCACATGCTAGTCTCAGATATTGCAGTGACAATAGATAAACCACAGTACATTGCTTGTGAAACATTGTGAATATGTACAGTATCACAGTGCAGAATTTGTATGGAAAAATCTGTGATAATTCTGTTTTACTTAGTTGAATAGACTAAACTAGAGTTACTAGATACCTTGGCCAAGATATGGCAGTAAATCTGGTGAGGTAATTGTCTTTAACACTGAATTAACTATACTATACTAAATGAATTAAGATAATACAGGTAAGATGGCAGCCTTAATGTTTATCTTCTGTTATTCTATAAAATTGTGGCCATAAACAAGGGTTCAAATTATTACTGTGTCTTCCAAGGTAGCGCATAGAGTACTGGTGTTGCTCCAAAAGGTAATCCGTGCCCTCAAGTTCTTCTAGATGAAAGAGTGAGAACAGGCTGGCCAATGCAATAGGTTGAAGCAATGACCTTGGAGGTAATGGTAGAACCAAACATACTTTTTCTGACTTGTAGTGTGCTTCATTCATTAAACCAAATTGTTGCTCATGTAAAGG